TCAGGTCACGAAAGAAAAATAAAAAAATGCGAGAATAATCTAATTTAAATCTGGAAATAAGGTGATCACAGAGCAATGTCTGTAAAAGAATGTAGAAATTTTCAGAATAGATTAATAAAATGCTTCTGAAATAAGCAACAATTGACACATTGCATTTTGCTACTGAGATGTGCCAGACTTTATGGTCAAAGAAATATATTCTATTCAAGCCATTGTGCTATGGCAAGCCATTAAATACAATAACCTAATGATTACAAACAATAGCCCCAGTATAAAAAATGTTTTTAGAAATCTCCAGATGAATATATTCTATAGTTTGGAGTTCTAAATATAAATCTGCCTTTTTCTTTTTCTCCCGCTCAATTTATAAATTCATTTTATTTAGTGTTACTCAGTTTTATTTCTTCAGATTATCTAAATGTGTTAAGGCTGACTTATTGCCTCACCTTCTGTCTCGTTTTCAAGTAGAACATGCTTAAGCCATGTCACCCAGATCTTATTTACTTCCCAGCTAACCCTTCCACCCCTCTCCACATGATTTTTTCTTTTAAATCCAAACAAAACTGATTATGTTGCCAGCTTTCAAACGGGATCAAACACAACCACGGTTAAAAGGCTTAGGTAAATTTGATTTCCTCTGTGGTTCCACTAAAATCAAGTATAAAGGCAGTAACCTGACACTTCATGAACAAAACTGGGAGATAAAACGGTACAAAGCGGGCCACAATGTAACGCCCCTCATTAGCTCAGTAAACCAGAGTTTGATCTTCTGATCTTTTAAGAGAGTGACAGCGAAGGTTGTGAGAACACAGAGGATGTGTGTGTGTGTGAATGAGAGCTATGATCCGTCTACTGTACCGTTTAACATGCACAGGCAGCACCAAGATACACCATCAGATAAACAAAATCACTTTAAAGATTGAAAAGTGTTTGCTCTACTGTTCCGTTGACAGTTTGGCTGAATGGGCGATGAATAACAATTGTCATTTTTTTCACCATAATTGTCAAAAATAGAATCTTGATATCAGTGATGCCATATGATTTATGATACAAGAGGAATTCAGCCATTATCAAATGGCAGCATGTGACCTGGGAGCTAACATTTACTACAGTAAAAATATTTGACTGTCCAGCTGGAAAATAAGTCAATTCATGAAAACATTGGTGTGGAACTATATGTGGGCTATAATCAGTTTAAACATGTCAGATGTTGAATAAAGCAACAATAACCTGTTTAAGCATCAGACTTATGGAGAGCCGTTTTTTTTTCAAAATGCAATAAATAAATAAATAAACGAGATATCATTTTATAAATAAATAGCATAAAGACATGCTAAAAATGTTTTAATATATTAATTTTGTTTTATTTCTTGGGGACATTTATGTATTTGATGGAATATTTATTAATACTTTATTAATTACATTATTTATTTATTTGTTTCATTATTTATTTAATAAAATGGCTCTCCATACAGACTAAGTAGGCATTGGGTAAAACGTACATATATCGAGTTCAGAGGGAAACACATTAGGCAAAGAAGAGAGCCAGCATCTGCCTTTTCCAGGTAAAAGCAAATAAATGACTTAATTACAGCTATTTTTCAGAGTTGTTGTTGTGTCAAAATTTCCAAACTGATTAACAACATACAGGGGAACTGGAACAAAACTGAAGCTCATTTTACACAAACTAAATATGTCGACTGATCCATCTACCCCTGAGCTCTTTTTTTTGGCAGCTTAATTCACTGAACAAGCAAGTGCACATTTGGAAACTCTAAACATCAAAGGGCTTCAACTTAACATACAACAACTCTTTGCATCATCAAAACAATTCAGTGACTGTCTGTATTAATGCTAATGCTAAGTGTTTTGCTTTTAAAATGCTTACAGATAGGGAACCTTGCTCTTGTAAGCTCTGCAACAAGGTTCAATGTCCGGTAAAACAGTCAATTATTTTTTTCTGCATAAATTGTCAATTTTACCTGGAAAAACATCCAAGTATTTTACCAAATATAGATTTTTCAGGCCTGAATGGCAGTGTTTTAGTGCTGTTGTATCACAGAAAAAAATGTCAGGAGGTTATGTCTTAGCTGGGACCTGTTTGTATAATGCCTGTTCTTCCGTGCATGTGTTGGTTTTCTCAAAGTCCATTCATTTTATTTTTTTTCTGAGTCTAAAAATATGCAGGTTAGGTTAAATGGATATTCTAATTTGATTAACGGTGTCTGGATGATATTTCATGCATGTCTTTGTGTTATTTCTTTATTAGTCTGACAAGATATACCCAGCTTAACTGGTGAAATTAGTTAATCAATGAAGCCCTGAACAGCAACTGTTCAGTTAAAAAATATTGAACCACAGGATCGCTAAAATCAGTTAATTTATTTGTTTGTTTTGTGTTTGATATGAGGAAGATGTCAATGAGCGACTGCAGGGTTAATCAACAGATTTATTACTGAGGGAATGTTAAAGACTACACAGAACAGTAACTAGGTAGTTAATTAAAAAAAAGTATTGAACCACAGGATCGCTAAAGTAAGCTAATTAACTTTGTGTCAATAAATATGTTGCGGTCCACTTTAGCCGAACTGAGATCTGCTCCACGCCTCTTTTGGTTCTACACTGCTGGGGTCATTTCTGAATCAGCAAATACGAGCGGGACATGGCCGGCTTCTTCAGCTATTTACGAATGAACCAAGGAATCTTAAAGCTGGACTGGTCTATGCGATGATTTTGCTGAACTGTTTTGGAATTATCAGACCATGGCATTAATTCTTCTAGCCTCTTTTTCCCCATATAAAGCCTGAGCATAATAAGAAGATGTCTGCTTTTGTGTTGGTTACCAAAATAAAAAAAAAATAAATGAAATTTAAAAAATCATTAGAGGAGAAATCAGTTTTTCTCATTTTACCCCAAGGTTTTTACTTGAGGCAGAAAATGTGCCTCATAAAGCACCAGACCCACAGCTAAAATATATATTTTTTGTACAACAATGGCTGCCAAGTAAGTAAAACCTCCAATAACAACTCATAAAAGCAGGGAATAAAAAATAAATAAATAAAATTAAAAAAGGTTGTTTTAAGTATGAAAAAAAACTTGTCGGTGTACAGATAAATACAATGATTAAAAACAGACAAAAGTAAAGATGTCCTAGTTTACAAGATGTAATTTTGGTTTATATTATAGTGTAAAATATTTCACTGCCTTTCTCTTTAATGAGAACATTAAAAACCCTCAGAACATAATTTTTTTTTTAAAAAATCTGCAAAGGTCTTTTTTTTTGCTGGAAGACTAATCATCTTTGTGTGATTAGGAGCTGAAGGTTAATGTGAGCTCTTGCAGATGGGAAAAAGAGCTGGGAGTGAGGGAGATCAGACCAGACAGCGCTCTATGGAGGCACATACCGGCAATATAGCAGGGGCACAGGGGGGCTATAAGTGGTTAAGAGTCTGAGGATCAATGGGAGGAGAAGTCTGAGCCTCATTACACATGTAAATGCAGCTTGCAGCATGGAGGCCCCACTTTAAAGCCTTGCTGTTTTAGTTATTCCTTTGCTCTGCGCATGCTAATTGGGTCTAACTCAGCTGAAGGCCTGTTGGCTGTAGAAGGTGAATAAAACACCTTAATTACTTGGTCCGATTTTAAGTGTTACCAGCGGAAAGATTTGGAACCTTTTCGTTATTGTTAAAGAGTAATGCATTTTAACATATTTCCTATATAATTTACATAGTTTGATTTGAAATGCACAAGCAATAAATGTTCTTGAGATTAATTTTATTCATATTTAGTTTTTTGAATACATATAAAAAAGATTTTTTAATGCAACCCTTTTACCTTGAATATTATAATGCATTTTATCACAAAAAACTCATGTTCAGAAGAGTGATGTGAGAAAGGGAGAGAGAGCGAGCATGGACACTCCTTACTGTATAAAGCATTGCAATATCAATTTGTATCAGGTCTTATTAAAAGAAAAAAAAGTTGGCTTGTTTACTGTGGGCATTTTCAAATTCATATGGTGTGTTTTATTAAAAAAATATAAATAAAAACACACATTTAGATAGGGATGGGTACCGAACTCGAAATTTTTAAGTACCGACCCAATTCTGGTTCAGTAAACAGAGCTTGGTCTGAACGTAGCTCCTGGAGTAAAACTCACCGAACAGACCACCTCTGAATTATCTGGTGGATTAATTATCTTGTGAACACAACGTTCGCTTGCTCAAAGTAAATAAAGTACCACCACTTTCTTTTTTTTCATCCACCATTAAACAGAGACCGGCAGAGGATAACAACAGATGTGCTTCCCGACAGTCCGAACATGTCTGACCTGAAAGAGCACAAGCAGCTAACTTGAAGCGTTGGGCGCGTTTTGGGTGCTCAAAACGTAGCTTGAATATCTTTTTATTTATTTTAACTCCATCCTCTTTTGCTTATTTGATTTAAACATATTTGCCTTCCATGGACCTCCATCACACAATTTTTCTAGCGGGGAAATGACATCAATAGAAATACGTGGAGCTGGATTTTAATTTGTGCAATAAGACAAAACAGTCTTGTTTTCAACAGTTTTCACCTTAATGAAATAAGTTTAAAAAAACAATGTTACAATACAAAGAGTTGGATGTTGTCTTGATATTTGTTAAATTTTATATATTGAGAAATACGTTAAATAAAAAAAAAGGTTTATTATTAATAAAACAACACATACAAAGTACCGAAAATTGATACTGTTAAGTACCAATACCGATTCCCTGGTACCGGATATTGGTACTGAATCGATTCAAATGTCAAAGGTACCCATCCCTACATATAGAGTTGTTTAATGATGTTCATTCATAACTATTTAGTCTGACCCATAATAATATGACTGGAACAAGGTATGGAACTCGATGAAACCCCTTATTACCCGGCATTTCTCATTCAAAGTTAATCAAATAATTTGATTGCCATCATTTCATTATAACATTCATAATAATAATTGTTTCAAAAACACTTACCTGGCCAGGTTTGGCATCTTCACATACCGAGGCTTCATATGGTGTAGCCAATTCTGGAGGATTGTCATTTACATCCAGAATACGAATGCTCACTGGGGAGTAGGACACCATGGAGTGGTTATCTACACAAAGAATAAATAAAAAAATCACATTAGATGTTGCTGGAGATATGCTTATGTTTCTTTAAATTCTGTTGTTTTTATCTGTTGTATTTACAAAAGTGTGATTGTCACTGGAAGCTCGGTGACTTGAGATTTTGATACTAGAGCAGTTTTTAAGTGAAGTCAGAGTTATTTCACACACATTTTTAGTAATACAACAATAGTGATTTACTCTGTCCATTTCAAAAGTCAACAGGCCGCTTTTCACTTCCACTTTACAAAGATTACTGCGACTCAGCTCTTCTTTTAACCATTTGAGACCTTTTATCTTCTGTCAATGGCGGCGCTCTCTAGACTGCCAATTTGCATATTGTGCACAGAGCAATATTTGAGCTTACTGCAGTTGTGCTGAAATTGAGGGAAGTCTGCTGAGGCTGAAATATTACTGAAAAGTTGAATTTAACAGTGACATGGTGACAAAGACATGGTATAAGAATGCACAGACAGATGTCATTTGGTGGTGTTTGCCTACATTCAGAATTTGAGACCAGATTTAGATATAGGGTTAGCTACCTAAATAGCAACATGCCTGACATTAAAATAGCACCAAAGCATACATGTCAACTTGTACGGATTTTCCGTAAGTTAAAAGGATTTTACGTCATTTTGCAGGTATACGGACGTATAGGGCAATCGCACAGATTTTTTTCAAGTCTTACGGATTTTTTCCAAACCTCATTTTCAAACTTATCTAACATGTCAGAGCTTGTAGGATGATTTAAAAAAAAAAACAATAAATAACATCAAATAGCCATCTTCCAACCTGTTCTGCCGCTAGAAATAAGTTTTGAACCTTCTCCGTTCTCCTTTCCTCGCAGCTTCGCACTAGGCGCTTTCATGTCCGCAGCCGACAGACACCCCCCCCCACCCCCCCACACCCGCGGGTGCGAGTTGTACGGATTTTTTGCAAAAATTACGGATTTTTGAGGCTCTTCATGTAAACGTCAAAAGAGGTTGACATGTGTCAAAGGCATAAGTTGCATCTTACCATCTGATTATTCCACTTCTTTACACAACTGTTGAATAATCTGAGTGGAAGTGGGACACCTTAATAAACTGATGCTTTTGACAAAATAGCAATTCGGTTTTATTAATTTAACAGGAAGTTCCATTTTGTTAAAATAATGCTCAGACAATGTTCTCTAAAACATTTTCCCAATAAAATGAAACATTAAAATAAACAAAGGTTTTGCGTTTTGTACAATTAAAGCTCACCTCAAATTAGCTCAGTTTATCTGGGAATCCTATTTTTCATTCTTAATTGTATTACAGTGTTTGATGGAGTCATCATTTTGCTTACAAACACTACTTATGGTAGAGCATAAAGTCTTAGGCCCAGAGCTGTTTGTGCATTTATGTGTGTGTGTCTAAGAGTTCGAGGAAAAACACAAAGAACATTATGTGGGAGTTTAATGAGCGATCCAGTTACTTGCAGTGCTGGTCTGGAAATTCTGGTTAATTAGAATACACAGCCGAGGATTTCTCCGGCTTGCTGCTGTTGCGGCGTGTCTCAGTGGAGTGGCGGATGTGGATGGAGTCCCCCGGCCCTCAGATTGTCCCTCGTGTTTGGATGGAGCGTCTGGGGTGGACTTGCCGGCCTGAACGCGTGGCGATGGGAGCCGGGACGGAGCCACTAATCTAACAAGTGAGGCGTACCAGCTTCCCTGTTGCCTATTTGGATCAATTTCAGCCGTGCCCTGTTTTTCGGTTGAGGATCAAACTGGAGCTACTGGTTTTGGTGAGCATGCTCGTGTCCAACATGGTGGGAACCATGTTATTCAAGCCTTGAAATGTGCGCCATTCAGCGAAGAAAAGAACAGCAAGCTACTGACTGGCTTCAGAACCTCACCTTATCGGGTAGTAATTTTCAGCCTATGTTACTGTTTTTCATCAGTGGACAAACATTAGTGCTAAAGGCACGGATATAACAGAATCTGTTTTAACCAGTCGGAAACAACATTTAAGACTTCTGTTTAATATTATTTTAGTCATTGGAAATATTGCCAGGTCCAGATAAAAATGTGTTTATGTCCACTTTTTATATTTTATGGGATTTCATACGTATGTTTTTAATAATTATCTTGACCTGGGTTTGTGCACAGGGTATCTTATATAAATCCAACTCAATTACAGTCTACACTGGGATCTATATTATATCCTGAAAAGGTTAGACAACCTCCTGTTATGTCAAGTCTGAACACTACATCAGTAAGAAAGTAAAAGTGATTTTCCTGTCTTAAAAAAAATCCAGGGACGCTAAATCAACTAGGTAAAATTAGAGGCTTTAAAATCTGTCATTTAAATATGAGAAGTCTTGTACCTAAACTGGATYAATTCAAAGTAATACTTGCTCAGACACAAGCACATGTTATGGCTATATCAGAATCATGGCTGACTCCTGCTATACCAAATTCATTTCTTTCACTTGAAAATTATTCATTGTATCGTAGAGACCGTACTGATAGGCTTGGAGGTGGTGTTGCAGTTTGTTCACAAGAAATACTCACATTCTGTAATAGAATTGTCAACTGAGTCTGAATCTCTGCAATTAGAAATCAAGCTTACAAATCACCTTTCAGTAATGGTTGTTGTTACATATAAATCTCCAAGTGTTAATTCAACTAAATATTTAGCGCAGCTCACTGACATTATAAAAGGCATAAAATCAAAAGAGTTTGTGATTCTTGGTGATATCAACATGAATTGGGCTGATAAAACTTCCAAAGGCRTGAAAGCAATGTCTATAAACTTAGGGCTTCAACAGTTAAAGTACCAACAAGATTTGGCCAGACATGCTATTCCATTTTGGATCTTATTTTCACAAATCGATCCTCCATATATGGCATATCTGGAGTTATAAATACTTCAATCTCGGATCTTTCACTTATTTTTTGTCATTAGAAAAAAAAAAACTTAAGAAACCTACAGTTCATTTGCATAATTTCATTAAAAGGATTCCAAAATCAAAGTTACCCATGTTTCATGCTGAGATTGAGAATACTAACTGGAATGAGGGTATTTCTGTCAAATCCAAATCACATTTTGTCAAAATTTTATGATAAATTGGAGACAATACAGGAAAAAATATAAATTTCAACTTGTAAAGTTCCAGTCCAGAAAAATAAAATTCCATGGTTGAATGCCTCTATAA